TTATATTGCCCGGTTCATCTCGCATCTAACTGCTACCTGTGAGCCAATCTTCAAGTTGCTGAAGAAAGATCAGGTAGTACGTTGGAATGATGAATGTCAGGCCGCTTTCGACAGAATCAAAGAGTATCTCCAAGAACCACCCATTCTTATGCCACCGGTTGAAGGGAGACCTCTAATACTATACCTGACAGTACTTGACAGCTCAATAGGGTGTGTGTTGGGGCAGCATGACGAGTCTGGCCGAAAAGAGCACGCCATTTATTACCTTAGCAAAAAGTTTACCGACTATGAGACCCGATACTCACTGCTCGAGAAAACTTGTTGCGCTTTGGTATGGGCTTCTCGCCGGCTGAGACAGTATATGCTGACTCACACTACTCTGTTGATTTCAAAGATGGATCCAATAAAGTACATATTCGAAAAGCCTGACCTATCTGGAAGAATAGCAAGATGGCAGATGATCTTGACAGAATACTACATCCAGTATACGACTCAGAAAGCTATCAAAGGAAGTGTATTGGAAGACCATTTGGCACACCAGGCAGTAGACGACTACCAGTCAATGAACTTTGAATTTCCTGACGAGAGTATCATGGTAGTGACTGATTGTGAAGTACCTGGACCGGATGAAGGACCTGAGGAAGGATCCCGATGGTCTATGCACTTTGACGGAGCCTCCAACGCTTTGGGTAATGGCATCAGCGATGTGATCATATCCCCCAAAGGCACTCATACTCCACTTACTGCCCGACTATGTTTCAACTGCACCAACAACATGGCGGAGTATGAGGCATGCATCATGGGTCTTCAAGCTGCAATTGACCTAAGAATCAAGTTTCTGAGTGTCTTCGGAGATTCCGCTCTCGTGATCAATCAGATCAAAGGCGAGTGGGATACGAAACACCCAAACCTTATTCCTTACAAAGAGTGTGTGTTGACATTGATCCCCCATTTCAGAGATAACTTTTGAACATTTCCCAAGAGAGGAGAATCAGTTGGCGGACGCGTTGGCTACGATGTCTTCTATGTTCAGAGTCAAATGGGACAATGAGGCTCCCCGGATCATTATCTGGAAACTGGACGAACCTGCATACTGTTGTGATCTTGAAGCTGAGATGGTAACTGAGAAACCTTGGTATCATGAGGTGAAGAGGTACTTGGAAGCTCAAGAATACCCTGAAGGTGCATCTGTCAACGACAAAAAGTTTCTGAGAAGGTTCGCAGCGAAATTCTTCCTCAGCAATGGCGTTTTGTACAAGAGAAACCATGATTCAACCTTACTGCGTTATGTGGATAAAACTGAAGCAGAAAAGATCATGGCAGAGCTACATGAAGGTACCTTTGGAACACATTCTAGTGGACACACCATGGCAAAGAAAATCCTTAGGGCAGGATATTTATGGTCCACAATGGAAGCTGACTGTTACCAACATTCTCGGACATGTTATAAGTGCCAGATATATGCTGATAAGGTGCACGTTCCTCCAGTTCCTCTGAATGTCTTGACAGCGCCTTGGCCGTTTGCAATGTGGGGCATTGATATGATCAGCGAGATTAAACCTACGGCATCCAACGGGCATCGCTTCATCCTGGTAGCGATTGATTACTTTACGAAGTGGGTTGAAGCAGCTTCCTACGCCACTGTAACCAAGAATGTCGTGGCACGGTTCATTCGGCATAACTTGATATGTCGATACAGCGTCCCGGAAAGGATCATTACGGACAATGGTACCAATCTTAACAACAAGATGATCACCGAGCTCTGCGAGAAATTCAAGATACAACACCACAACTCTTCTCCTTACCGACCGAAGATGAATGGGGCTGTAGAAGCAGCTAATAAGAATATCAAGAAGATTGTGCAGAAGATGACATTGACCTATAAAGATTGGCACGAGATGTTACCGTTTGCTCTACATGGGTACCGTACCTCAGCAAGGACGTCAACCGGGGCAACTCCCTTTTCCTTGGTCTATGGCATGGAGGCAGTCTTGCCGATTGAAGTCCAGATACCCTCTCTCCGAATAATGAAGGATGCAGATTTGAGCGAAGATGACTGGATCCAGACACGACTTGATCAGTTAAACCTAATTGATGAAAAGAGACTCACTGCTATTTGTCATGGTCAAACGTATCAAAAACGGATGATCAGGGCATTTAACAAGAAAGTCAGACCACAAGAGTATCAAGTTGGGGACCTGGTAATCAAGCGCATCATCCTTCCTCAGAGTGATCCCAGGGGAAAATGGACCCCTACGTACGAAGGGCCATTTGTGGTTAAACATGTGTTCTCAGGAGGAGCCATGATCCTAACCACCATAGATGGTGATGACCTTCCTCACCCCGCCAATGCAGACATAGTAAAAAGATACTACGCATGATAAGAGACCCGCTAGGTTGACATACCTAGGAAAAAATTAGGGCTTCCTGGCGAACCAAAAGGGTTCGGGCAAAATGAGGGATGAAATGAAAAAATCTGTACACCCGGCAAGTCGAAAACCTGAAAAGGTGGCTTGGGCAAAAATGGGTATCCCGGTGGACTGAAAACCCGAAAGGGCGGTCCAGGCAAAAGTTAGGGATAAAGCGTAATACTATGTCTCATTGGATCACCTTGCATCCAGAATCCGGTATCTACCATCAAGTTCAGACGGCATCGATCAATCATCTTCATCTTCAACTAAGCAGCCAAGTGATGAGACGCTCAAAGATATAAAGGCGATAGCAGAGTTGGAACCCAGTGGGATTATTCCTTTCACATAGTTGTTTTGTTTTCTTTGTATAAACTGTATAAACTCTGTTGTTCGGCTGTGTTATCTTACTAGGACGTCAGCCTCTTGTACATAAACGCCTATTTACGGGCAAATTCAAAAATCAATACAAATTCACTTTTCAGCTAAATTGCCAATTGTTTTTCCTTTTTCTGTTTTGTTTTGCGAAGAACGTCCAATGTTCGATTGTGATATATGCATATGACAGTAATTGCTAACTCATAAATATTTGCATGCGAAACAAAGGATTAATTACAGGTGACATCAGGAACAGGGGCAATAATGAGTTGTCTAAGCAATCTAAGGGCTCTGTCCACCAAGGTACCAAGGTAAGTTCGGCTGAAGAATGTAACCAAGATGCCTTAATTCCCCAGAGAGTGAGCCAAGATTCAACAATATTCAACCCAAGCAGTTGGTCTCCCATCAACCCTAATGTTGTACCCCAATTTTTGACCTAAGATCCCATTTTTATTTTTGCATTTTTTTAAGATAAGTCAAGGTCACGAAATACGGTCGGTTTTAACCTCTCACCTTCAAGCTTTGACTATGTGAAGATTGTCAAGTATTTTAAACATTCTTAGCCTATGTATCATTAACTTCTATTCCAGCATGTGTATTTTTCGTTTCTTTGATTTCATTTGCAGGAAACAGATCTGAATCAAGAGCATCAGGCGTCACACCTCAATTAGGGCTCAGAATCTCTCAAGCCAGAAGTACAGTTAATCGTTGATTCGTGAAGACTGATTCATCAGGAGAATCGTGCGTTTATTTCCACGCCTTGTTCGACAAGTGGTCTCAAGCTTCTCTACAACTTTCTCAGAGCACAAACAAGATTTCATCATCACTGGTTCACATGTGCATCAAGATGCTTTGGAATGCAAAGAAAGATCAAGTTTGCAAGTCAATTCAAAGCACTTTGACCAAAAGTCAATACTTTCACATTCAAGTTCAAACGATCGTAACTTTTTCATTATTCAATATTTTTGAATGGTTACTTTTGCGTATAGTTCTCCTTGACGTCATCTCCAACTCCTCTTTACCAGTCAAGATCTGATTATGTGCGGAGGATCATCAAAAGTACGAATACTTTAGAGGTCGTTCTGCAGAATTTGACCTAATCTCAAAATCGTTGTGCCCAACTTCCAAGGATCATAATTTCTTTTATTCTCGACATTTTGAGGCGATTCTTTTTGCACATTGTCATGAGTAATGTCATCTACCAGTTCTCTTCAAGGATCGAGAGTTAATTAGGCATAAAAGATCATAAAAGCCATTGAATCGTCATGGGTCATTTCGTGAATTAAAATGTTCTTAACTCATAGGTTCAACTCATGTCATAGAAATTTTCTCAAGATACTTGATTCTTACCTGGAGATTATTCATGAAAATAAGAATTAGAGTTTGGAAATTCATTGATCTCCTTATTATTCGCAATTTAAATCACTTGTGTCTGAGCATTTGGTGATTATTGAATGAAAGTGGATTTCTCAAGGAATTATTATTCTTTCAAGCGCCATTGGATTTTATTGTGAATTACCATGAATTGAGGATTCGTCCATGAAATATCGTTAAATTCAAGTCAAGGCTAAACGATTCAATTTTTTGTCATAGGGAATTAAAAGTGCTCACACATTTTCTTTTAAGGCCATCATTCCAATTGTAAATTCCATTCAAGAATTACAAATTTCCTAGATCTTAAATTTCAAGTTACAAGGAAATTCCAGAAATTCATCCAAGACATTCTAAGGTACAAAAGATTCAATTCATAACTATAACTCTTCAGTTGTTGAGTGCTTAAAGTTTCATGCATCATTACAAGCATTTCCACGGCCATTTCCTAAACTCTAAAAATTCTAAACCTATCGTAATCTTCAAACTTGATTCATTCTTCCAAATCATGCCATAGAATTGTCCACAAACCTTGCTCCAACTTTCACCCAAAACTGTCCATTAAAACAACAAAACATATGGAAGCAAAATCAGTCCAATATTTTGAAATAAAAGAGAGGCAAAATACATGTATGGTTACATGGGAAAATCAGAAAAAATGCAAAGTAGAAAAGGGACCTTTCAATGATAATTTTACTGCTGCACATCAGTCCAAAAATAATGCCCCAAAACTGTCTTTTGTCTGCTGTCCAGAACCACTGCTACAAACTCTGCCTTACAGTCCCAAAACTGTATAAGTTCTGTCCAAAATCAACCTATGTTGCAGCAGTCAAACTAGTTCTGCTATGATGTCCCAATTTTGCACAAGAATAGAAAACCACCAACCTGCATCAAGAAAGCAAGAACAAGTGAACAAAAACAATTTCAACCCTTCTATTTCAACGCACAGCATAATCCCTCATCTCCTTCAATTCCCCTTTCAAAAACAGAACAAACACAATTCCGCCTTCCTTCCACCTCCCTCTGTTACATTCATCTTCCACGAAGTTCTCCACAAACCAGCCATCATCTCCATTACATACTCAACTAACCTTCACTCCAAACACTCCATACCCCCTCATAAACCAGAAATCTTCATCACCTTTTTAAACTGTATCAGACCTCTACAATCCACAATCAACCTTACCAACCTAACCGTGTAACACTCAACCTTACATAATCTCACACCTTTCAACTTACAACCTAACTATTGTTTACCCAACTCATCTCTATAACCTTTCACCAAAACCTTCATCACCTTTTATTCGCTCAAATCCACAAGACACTCTCCGTCTGTAATGTGCATAAAAACATTCAACAACTCAACACAGCATTCACAACAATCGGATTTCAGAATCTATAAGAGTTCAACAAGAAGAAGAGAAAGATAGAAACACACAAAGACACAAAAAAACTAACAGTAGCTAACATACTCACATTCACCAACCTTACATCACCGTCTTCCTCTCTCGCTCATGAACCCAGCGATCCGTTCCTCATCATCAACGTTCGTAACGTCATCCACCACCTACTTCCTCTGCCTCAATCGCATCTAACCTCCTTCACGCGAGCTTCTGTTCCAGCCAACATCATCGAGCGTTTCAGCAAACCGAGTTTCTGTTCTCTGCGATTTCTCTCAATCATTCCGCCGTAACCGCAAACAAGCTCGCTCAGTCCGTTACACCGTCGCACAACACAATTCGCAGCAACTTCCATTGTTACTCCCTCTACGCACAAACAGTCTCGGTACCTCCATCAATGACGAGACGACATGCGTCTTTGATTCCCAATGGAACATCAACCATTATGCTTGGCACGAGAAGGAAGGATGAGAAAGGAGATTGACAAAAGGTTTCTGCATTTGTGAGGTTTGAGAAGGAAGAAGAAAGGTGGGAGAGGGAGTCTTTTCTGCGACTATGCCGTTCTGGGAAACAAAGAGTAATAGGGTTTTCTTCAACCCAACTTTGTGAGTTTGGGAGATGGGTCCGGACCACCCTGACCCGGTCCGGCCCATCATTTTTTTTATATCTTTCTGATCTTTATTTGTGTTACAGTTTAGGCTTATTGTTTCCTTTTCTTTTTGTTTTAGGGCCCAACTGCTTTTATTACTCCCCCTCCAATAATTTTTTGTTACACTCTTTCAATTTATTTATCTTAAATAATAATTAGCTTAGTCAATCTAGGTATTTTATAGATTTAATTAAACAACTATGTTTTAGTTAACTAGATAATCTTAATTATTTAGATTAGTTTTAGGCTTAATTTAATAACTTTAGAATTTTAATTTAATTAGATATAAATTAGTAATGTTAAAACCTTTAATTAGTTTAGATACATTTTGATAACTTTAGAATGTTAATTTAGTCTTTGAATTTTAATCTTTAATTTAGAATTAGTTTAGTTTAGATTTAAGTTAGTAATTTTATTATTAATATAGTTTAGATTAAATTAGTAATTTTATAATGAATTTAGTTTATACTAGTTTAGATGTAATTTAGTAACTTTAGAATTAATTTAGTTTAGACCTGATTCAGTAATATTAGAGTGTTGATTTATTTTAGATTTAATTTAATAACTTACGAATTTTAGTTAGTAACTTTAGAATTTTAATTTAGTTTTAGTTAATAACTTCGAAATTTTATTTAATTTAGTTAGACGCTTTAAAATTTAAGTTTAGCTTACTTAGTAACCTTAGAATTTCAAATTAGTTTAGATAATTTTTTTTATTACATTTTTCTTTTATTCATGATTCTTCTTTGTCTTTTCATTTAGTTTCTTACAATTTATCTCCTTCTCTACCTTGTTCGTTTCTCGTGGATTTTAATTATTTATGCTTTCTTACTCGAATATTAGATCCACCTGCTTATACCATTCCAAGGGAAATGTTTCAGCTCAGCTGACTTCATGTCATCAAATACGTCTTCTACAATCGTGCGAGTAGCCTCATTCATTTTTTGCTTGTTTACTATTTTTCCAAACTTAAGATAATTTTCCCAAAAGACTCCATTTTCAAACTCATACCTTTTAAGTCAAAACTTCGACATTAGGTTATCACATCTTCAAAATCTCGCCAACACCTATTTTTTTTAGCCAAACGAACCATTTTAATCAAACAAACAATTTTAACCAAAAAAACAGATATTTCAAAAGGTTCCTGCGGAGTACCGCAGATGCATTGGGTGCTAATACCTTCCCATTGTATAACCAACCCCCGAACTCTCGATCTTTTTTTCAAAAACGCATTGTATTTTTATTACTTTTAAGTATTATTTTACATTGCATATTTTAGGGTTTTATTTCGCTCTTTTCCCTTTTCCCTTGGAAATAATAAAGCGCGGTGGTGACTCTTGCTTTTGTGAGTCAAGTTAATTAATAGCTTGATCTCCGATTTTCACCGCTACAGAATTGGCGACTCTGCTGGGGAATAATTGACCTCTTGCTGGTCCATCCCTAAGTGGGTTAAGCCTAATTTGTTTTATCTGTTTTATCATTATTTGATTGCTTGATTATATGTATATATTATGATTATTTGGGTGTTGATAATATTTACAAAGGACAAGTCATATACCCGGACTAAGTTACACTTAGGAATAGGAAGGGCGGTATAGTCATGTTAACTTTGAGGGAGTAATCCCGAAGAAGGAGGCATGAGATCCCCCACTCAGTGGAAGGCCCTTTTGAACGTAATATTTGTTTACCGAGTAATCGGGAAGACATTATTATTTTTGACCTGGGAGCCAGAGAAGCTGGGAACCGTAGAACCCTAACCCATCTTGGCCTTTTAGGTGTAGCACGGAGATTATAACAGAGTAATCCGGAAGTAATTGTTACGCGATGCTACGCTCGGATGAGTTTCTCTTGAGAATATTGCTGATTATTGAGTAATCAAGACGTTGGTAATATCCGAAGGAGGAATGTAGACTCCGGGAACTCTTAGAACCTTGTTCTACAGGTGTGATTAAACAATTAGTACATACCTTAGGGGTGTTCCTTACCTTGACTCCATGCTCGTGACGTTGAACCTTTCGACTTTATTTGTGACCTTTCTTGTGGTTGTTGCATAGCCATGCATTCATGCATCCATAAAACCCTTTTCACTTGACTTTGAAGGAATTTGGAGGTCTTTCTTTGTAAACATCACAAGTTTCGTCAAGCTCAATGGATCTTGGGTGTTGATAGGGCGAAAACCCTAATCCACCAAAATGGATGATTGATCTTGATGATAACTTGATCAATGTTTGGAGCCAATTTAAAATTCATCTTCTATCTTCATGCTTTGATGTTTACAACTTAATATCTTGAGTTCCTTGAAAATCAAATAAAAACTCTCTTTTGCATATCATACATCATTCTACATTTTTTGTTTCACTTTCAAAGGTCTTTTTCCGAGTCTTATTTTTCCTTTGGTCTCACCAGTACAACATTGACGCTAAGAGAATATCAAGCAAGAGATTTCTGAACTTCGTAGAGAGATGACTAATTTGAAAGCTAGTATGGAGCACTTAACTGGTTTGGTTGAAATTTTGGTTGCTGCCCAAGTCAATCCTTCTAAGAAGGAAGGAAGCAATGATAAAAGTCTTCACTGAAACTCTAAAATCATTCTCTCATGAGAAGGTGATGGTTAATGCACCTAATGACTTTCCTGACAAGGTGAATGTGGGAGTGCGTCTAGAAGAAGATGTTGGGAAGGGATGTTCATATGAAGATGGTAGCTCAACTAATGGTGTGAAGAGGTTTGACAATAACTTTTCCAAGAAGAGAACCAGAGGAAGAAATAATCATCGTCAGAATCATCATGTTTCTCCTTTTCATCAACAGAATCAACAAGTTCCTAATTAGAGGAAAACCCAGTTTGATCCAATTCCAATTACCTATACAGAGTTGTTCCCTATCCTGATGCAGAGGAATTTGGTTCAGACCCGACCTCCACCGAAGGTTCCTGAGAAGATACATTGGTACTATAAAGCTGATTTGACTAGTACCTTTCATCAAGGTGCTCCTAGGCATGACTTGGAGGGTTGCTTTGCTTTGAAGATCGAGGTTCAGAAGTTGGTCAGAAGTGGTATCTTGTCATTCAAGGACGTTGGTTTTGAAGTTCAAATCAAGCACGTGTCGAAGAGTAAACACGATTGATGGCCACTTTGAGTTTTGAAGGATGTTTTCGGTGATTCAAGTCCAGATGGAATGCTTTCCCCGATCATTAACTTATTTCTGCTTTTTGTAATTTTTCTTGTTTATCAAAACATTGTTTGCATGTAAGAACTTGTTTGCATCTGTATGATTATCTTAATACAATGAGTATGTTTGTCTTGAAGAAATTCATTCGTTTCACTCATATTTGTTTTCAAATTTTAAATTTCTTTTAGTATTATGATACCAACTTGTTGCCCATTCTCTTGCCTAGGCAGAGATTGAAGAGAGGATGATGATCTAAAGAACACAAAATCTCTAGTTGCATGCTTTTGGATAAAATCTTGCTGATGATGTACAGGCATTGTTTCAAATCCCTAAACACTGGAGATATAAGGAAGATAATCCCTTGCTAACCCCTTTTGAGCCTTTGAAGCAGAAGTTTCTTTTCTATACGAAAAAACCTTGAATTTTAACCTGGGGCAGGGTAGTTTTTTAGTTAATCTGACTGAGTGTTCAAAATTCATAAGGAAGATGTTTTTTGAAGAGACCACGAGGGCTATCCTTCATGTATAATGAATCTAGAGGATGTGGAACCACAATGCTATCCCTCATTCATCAAGAAACGAGGCAATCACAATCCTCTCAACAAGCAAAGACAAGCTAATGTCACACAATTTGTTCAAAAAGTCAAAAATCAAGAAAAAGAAAAGCCTGCTAAGTCAAAAAAAAAACATGAAAACGTGTGACTTAGGCAAAATTAAGGCATCCCGCTGGACTATCAATTCAAAAAATTAGTTCAGGCAAAAATTAGGGAAAATAAAAATTGCAAAGAAAGGACTACAAAGAAAAGTCCTCAGCAAAGAGCAAATTGGTGACTACAATACGAAGACATGAGGGTGGTTTCTACTCCGAAAGCCTCGTCGTTTCCTTGACCGTCACAAAATCCTTTTGAGAGATGAACACTCATGTTGAATTAACTGAACATAGGGTTGGAGAACATCATGAAGAATGGGTGGGCACCAAATATTTAGAGCCTTAAAATCTTTTTTCTAAAAAACCGTGAACTAAGCCACGTTACAACTTTCAAAAGTCCTAATTGAAGCAAGGTTATTTTGAAAGCATACTTCAATGAGATAGTGTTCCTGACTCCCATGAATGTTCTAAATAGTTATGTTGGTATCATATGTTTTTCCTACACAAAAATAAATGATGCTCTAACTCGCAAAATTTGTGCGATATCTTTTCAAAATCTTCAAGACTTACATAACTGTTGCATTAGAATTTTCATTCTCATTGTAAACTTTTTCTAACTGCAAAACATTTGTTTGATATCAAGGAAGCTCACATAAGCACCAGTGATGAGTCTATTCTTAAGGCCTGAAGCTCTGTTGAGTAATTGGCGGATCATTTCAAGAAAAAATCATATGCAGGGGAATGTCACCTGAAGATCTTAAGCACGGACATGTTGCTTCTCCTAATTAATGCTTTCCCAACTTGTTTACTCTTTTGGGGCAAAATTTGAAGACTTTGTTGTGCCAACTTCAGTCAATCCGGGGCAATCACGTTGAGACTTGATGAATTCC